ACCTGGCTCTACGTATTATTTTGCTCACAGGTTGTTTATACAAATATATATATATACACATTGGGAAGCCAGGGAAGCGAAGCAGTAAGCATGCTACACGATCTTAAGAACGGAAGAAATAGTTTTAATGACAACATGTGTCGCTGCAATTTCCGAAACATTAAAGATTTGTAATCCCTCCTACCTTAATGGAATTATTTCAGGGGGGTTACCCACCAAAATATAATTTTCAAAATAGTTTCAAACATCTAACATGTTGGATGTATAGATTTAATTAGATTTATGCAGTCTAACCATCACCAAAATAATTTCTGGTTGGAAATTATTTTGATGGGTTGCCCCCCGTCAAAATAATTTTGACGTAAACACTCTGAATGGAAAAAAATAAAACAGTTTTGGTTTTCTATGATGGCGTGGCCCCGAGAAGTCCGATTGCAGCACAACTCACAACAGAAGTCGCAGTGTAAAATGGGACTGAAAGGGTTTACTCACAGCAGAATTGAAGAAAATCACAAAGTACATCATCAGGAAATCCTGCACAATGTTGGTCTTGCAAAAGTGGCTTACTATTTTTTAGGTTGTTTTTTGCTGTTTTTGAGGATTGATGCGTTGCGAATCCTACAACGCAAATAAATTCAAACATCCTGTTTCATGTGTGCTCCCTGCTAGTCATGTCAGAATCTCCCCTCAATTTTAAGTTGCAGCAAGAACGCATCAAGACTTGCAACCCGAAACCCAACACGTTCTTTAAGAAATTATCGAAAAGGATATTAGAGATGCCCTGCGCTCCTCAAAAATCAAAGTGGGCAGCTGCCAGAACCATCCAACTCGCCCAAAAACTGGAAAAATGATAAACCTATCAAAACCGAACGCTTCCCATCAAGAGTTCTTTGGAGGGAAATGTAGGGAATATGGGCGAAATACGGGGAAATATGAAAGGTTAAGAAAATCACTACAGGAAAGAGCCAGGTTGAATACTATTTCGTGGGATTTCACAAGGGGAGACATTATTTTAGGGGTATTGAGATGTCCTGCACTTCTCAAAAACCAAAGCGAGCAGCTCCCAGAACCACCCAACTCGCCAAGAAGCTGGAAAAAAGTGTTCAAAAACCTATAGAACCGAAGGCTTCCCATCGAGAGTTCTTTGGAGGGAAATGAAAATATAGATGTAACACTGTAGCACCACCGCAGGAGCGTTGCGCATCAGAGATTTTCTTTCGCGCTGTTGATTGTTTCATAATGGCAAGTTATAGAAAGCTAGCAGGTGTCCTTGTTGCCTTCTCAAGTCTAGGGTGTAGACATGGCGAATCACAGAGTCTTATTATTATTGATTTATAGTGCACCAAGCACCTCTTGTTTACTGTGGAGTTGTGTTTCATTGAATGTTTGGATCATGCATCGTCTCTGTTATATTTGGCTACTTTTCGAAAGATTAAGATGAGTCTCCAAGGGGACGAAACTAGTTAATTAACTTCAAGGTTTACTTGCAGGATAAGTAGCATCATCATATTGTGTTAGCTTTAGTTAGATAATCAGCACTTTGTCGTTTCTAACATAAATGGTAGTCCACCAACTCCAAAAGCACTTTTCATAACCAGACCTCGGAGAGGTGCTCAAATAGTCGCCTTTTTTGGGACCTCCATTTTGTGGAGACAAGAATCAAAGCTCCTGGTTCAAGAGAAGAACAACTGGGATTTATACAGGAGAGTTGAGAGGGGTTGAGGGAGACGTCAGGAGTATTAAAAGAAGATGGGACTCCGTGTTCTGTTTTGAGAGTCCGACACCATTTGAAGGCTTTGAAGGAAAACATATGATATTGAGGAGGCTTCCCGGAGAGGTGCTCAAGTAGTCGACTTTTTTGGGACCCCCATTTTGTGGAGGTTCAAGAGAAGAAAAGCTGGGATTTATAAAGGAGAGTTGAGATAGGTTGACGGAGACGTGAGGGGTATTAAAAGAAGATGGGGCTCCGTGTCTCTTTTTCCCAGCTGGAATTGCTGGCTCATCAATCAATCCAGTGAACAGAAGCAGATCCAAAAAAAAACTCCTAAATTGGAAGAACAACTTCATCAGGTCGCAAACTTCGTTAGACCAACTAAGACTATAACTTGCAAACCTTGCTGGCTCTCAAACAGGAATGCCAAACTATCTAGCCGCAGGTTCGATAGTACGTATAAATACAAATATAGATATAAATGATGAATGAATATACAATTAGAAATATGAATGCATAAATCTTACCTATGTAAAAAATATATATACACATATGTATGCATGTATGTATGTATGTATGTATGTTTGAATGTATGTCTGTATGTATGTACGCATGTACGTATGTACGTATGTATGTATGTATGGATGGATGCATGCATGTATGTATGTATGAATAAAAGTATGTGTGTGTATGTAAACAAAAATAAGAATATATATGTTTATATGAAAAGAATGTATACCCGTATGTAAATAAGTATGTGAACAATAATGTATACACACGAACTAGGAATCTATAAATACTTTCCGAGTACATGCATATCTATATATATATATATTTATACATTATACACAGCTGAAAGTATGTATAAAGCCAAAAATATACATTATATATGTATAGAGAGGGAGATAGATAGATATGCGTAAATAAAGTTGAAAATCGAAAAGTAGACATTTTGACTTTTTACTTTTTGACTTCTGAATTTTTACTGGATGCCTTTTCAGCCGAACATGCGCAGCTAAAAGTGCAAAAGTCAAACCGTTGAGAGAGAAGAAGAAAAGGCGAAAAGCCGAAAAGTCAAAAAGTAACAAGTCGAAACGTATACTTTTTGACTTTCCACTTTGACTCTTAACTTAAACCGTTGAGAGTCGAGAGGGAAGAAAAAAATCGAAAAGTCAAAAAGTCGCAAAGTATACTTTTTGACTTTCCACTTTGACTCTTAACTTAAACCGTTGAGAGTCGAGAGGGAAGAAGAAAAGTCGAAAAGTTGTAAAGTATACTTTTTGACTTTTCACTTTTTGACTTGTTGAATTTTTACCGGATGCCTTTCCAGCCGAGCATGCGCACTTCTTTTTTCCAGCTTAGGGTCTCGCCTGCATCCGCTGAGCACACAGCAAAAATTCGTGCATACTTATCTTCCTTCCATTGGCCGAGGGACAATGGGTTTTGATGTCATACGATTCCAGCGCACGAATCTTGGTCTCGGGTCCACATCTAACAAGAACAAAGCAGCATGCATCAGGGGGGTGGCGTCTAGCCATGCGGTGCCTAAGCTTGTTGGCTTCGGGAGCATGGGGCCTAATAGTGTTTTGCAAATATTCAAATCAGACGCTTAGCAGGGCCAACCTCTCGAGACATGCTTTTTCTCCTCAAGCGTGCAATACCTGTATTCCGAAAGTGCTTGGAAAACCATTGGTACATACCCATGTCCGCATTCTTGCTTCATAGAGTCATTTTTTGCAACTCCGCAAAGTCTTTCCATCATCCTAGTGCTTGGCATGTTGAACACCTGTTGACAGTCAGCGGGGAGAGTCCGTATGACTTGCATCTACTTTGCTAGCATGATTACGCTTCAGCAAGAGCGCGCCTCTAGCCAATAAAGAACAAACAAAGCAGCAGTTTCACTGTATGATTACTTCTTCGGCTCTTCAAGTGCTGCGGAAACATCCAGGATTCAAGGCAACGACAAAGCTCGCAAATCAGCTTCCATTCACCTGTAGCTACTTGGCCCCTTTGCAGTTCCAGACTTACACGGGCAAACACGGCATCAGTCAGGAACCGGGCAAGGGTCAACTGCCCAACTGCTGATGCTTAGTCATATGCGGGCACTTGTTGCTCGGTTACTGCTCTGCTGAGAAAAGAAGCCAGCGGCTGGTGCAATGCCAAATGAGTCTTTGGTGAGGTCCTTGCAAATTCGTTCGCATGGACCATCATGCTATGCAGAGAAAACGGAAAACAAAATTATATGGAAGTATGGAAACTAAAGATATGAAGGGGAGAAAGGGAAACACAACGAACCGTAGCTGCTCAAGGTTTGCGGACAAACAAAAAGTAAAAACTCAGAAAAACTCAGAGGTATTGAAAGTAAAAACTCAGAAAAACGCTGGATCACAGTGGAAATACAAGCATGCGCGAAGCAAGTAGCATCCAGCTTTTAGCACATGTCAGCTCGTATGTGAACAGGCAGAGGCTGGAGTTTTTTGAGCCCTCTCTGGTGTGCACGCTCCCGACTCTGTGAGCGTCTGTTCACTTAATCTAAAGCATTCGGGCCACAATGGTCACAGAATGGATCAAAAAAGTCAAAGTCAGTGCGAGTCAGTCCTGCCAGACAAGAAGCAAAACATATCGTGGCATATCAGCTGTACGTGAAGAGACAGCTTCACTCAAGGGATCCTCAAAACCGCAAAGGTCATGCGCAGAGCGTATCCCCTTTCTGCCAAAAAAACGGATCAAACTTCTTGTCAGCACAGTCATGGACGCCCCTGCATTACATTACATTAAAACATTACATGACATTAGATGACATTACATTAGATTAGGTTGCATCAGAAGAGATTCCGTTACATTGGATCACATGAGTTTAGACTGTATTATATTGCATTACATTGGATTGCGTTGGATTCGCAGCACTCGCGGTGAATATTATCTTGTGTATGTGTGTGTGCGTGGGCATGCGAGCTCGTGGTCACAGATGAAACCTGGACGCAGCGGAGTTTGAGCCCGAGGGGGGGGGGGTCACAGTTCGACATGATCAATCATATTTCAGAGAGGGGCCCCAAAACCAGTTTGACATGAGGGGCTGTATCCAGTCTGCCCCCAATTCATTGCAGCAAACCTAACTCCAGCATGCTAGCTTTTGTAATTTTGCAGGCCAAAGTCGGAATTGTTGCGTTTTGTTTTCTCGTATTTGTTTTCTCCTGTTTTTTGATCCGTCTTTTCTATTACTTTTTTATTATTACTTTTTTCTATTTCTATTTGTTTGTTGTGTTTCCACTGTTCCTCAGGCTTGGGCCGGGTCGACCTCCGCAGGTGTCACACCGTGCAGGCCCAAGACACACGCCTGACGTAAAAGGTGGCGACTCTGACGATCTCGGAATCGAACAAAAAAAGCAAAATGAAAACACCATTTATTCTTTTTCATTCTTTTCCACAATTTTCAGGTTCCGAGAATCGGAAGAATCGGCAGAACCTGTCGGTTGAACCTGTCGAACCTGTCTTAATCTCAGGGTCGCTCCGAATGGCCTTGTTGGTGCCATGTCCAATGCCCGTGAGAGCGAGCGAACCCCGCAGTTCCACCAAGACCGTTGACAGCTCGCCCAACAAGTTCTGCTTTGCCAGGCCTCAAGGCTCATGGCGAGATCTTTCAACGGATCTTTCAACGGATCTTTCCATCATTTTTTGACACTTTTGCCTCAAATACCTTAAATCCATCAAATCATCAAATCATCCATCAAATCATCCATGACATCATCTCAAATCCTCAATGTCACATATAGAAATATCTGAACGAACCTCAACATATCTGAACATCTTGAACAAATGACCCTTCAATGACCAAAATGTGAAGATATCTGAAGCAATACAGCCGAATACAGCTGAATACAGCTACCAGCTGAGCAGCGCTTCGCAAAATTTCGACAAGCCAGCCTGGGACTGTCGAGAAACATGATTCAACTCCGTGTCCGGTGCTAACAGTGCGTTCTGGCCTTCTTAGACCTTCTTAAATCTTCTAGAAGCTTTTTGACACTTTTTTGTCCCGTTCACTCATTGTTCCATTCTGATCCATTTTGGTTTGAAGGGGCCTCTCAAACTGGTCCAAAAATAAATCGAGATCAAGACCGGGTCAAAAACACTAAAATAAAACAATCAAAAACACGCAGTTCTATGGCTTTTTCAATCATTTGATACCACTTAATTTCGTAAATCTTCTCACCGCCATGTCGAGTGGGCATGCCAAGTGGGCCAAATGCATCCCTGACACATGGGCCCGACTGTGTGGCTGCTGGATGGGCCGATGCCAATCTTCAAAAGCTCCTTGGTGCTGAGCTTTTGACATTGGGTCAGAATTCGATCACCATTGGCATATCAATGCGTATCATTAGACTCATTAGACCATCATTTGCATCATCATTGGCAGCTTTAGATCATTTAGCATCATTCCCACAGAATCTCTTGGCATGTCTCAACATGGAGATACTGCGAGAAAGTGCAAATACACATTTGAAATCACTCGACAGAGAAAGCGAAATGGTCTTAGCCACTTCCATGATACTAGGAAATCTAAGAAACGATCGACCGTCGGACTCCGTCGGACGCCGTCGGACCATTACAGGCAGGTTGCGAAGACAGATGTCTGAATGGGGTTGACGAAGGGGCTGCTGCGTTGGGCTCCCTGAACGAAGCTGGGCGTGTCGAACAAGGCCTCAGTGACCCAAACAGTGACCCAAGTCGAATTCCGAGACAGGTTCCGAGACGGGTTCCGTGTCGAACAATTTGCAATTGCCGCACGTTGCACAAGATGGGTGTGAGACAACGTGCTCCAAAAGCATTGCGTTCGCATTGGGAAAATTTGGATACGTCTCATGCACTAAGACTAAGTCCCGAGATGTTCGAAGACAAACAAAAAATAAACACGATTGCTTTGCGTCTTCAGAATTGACAGGGAAAATCTTGGTGCTTCTTCTTGGCACCGCACAACGCCACTTCCGGTGACTGGCAGAGAAACAAATAAAAAGGAAAGGAAGGAAAAAAAGGAAAAACAGAAAGGAATCTTTGCCATCCTAAGGGTTCTTTGAGGTATCTCGTGATGATCCTCTCATTCTGGACATTTGTTTTGCATCCCGTCATGCATTTCATGCGTTTTATGCGTTTCATGCATTGAAATTTGATCCATTTTGATCCTGCCATCTTCTGTGGACCTTGCGAAATGTTCCACCGCACCTGAACAATGACTGCATGAGCGATTGCTGAAGACCGAGTCCTGGCTGGAGCTGCGGATGCTGCGGGTTTAGTCTATGACCGTGTGCCGAGAATGTAATTGTTGAACAGCTGTTGGACACATGATTAACTGAACTACTGAACAACTTGACAAAAACAATCCGTGTGAAACGACATGAACTCCACAGCTGCATCTCAGAAGCATCTCCTTGCTCTGGCACGTCTTCAACGCCCCATCCTCGATATCATAGCCAGCCATGCGCACAGACCGGAGGGAGGCAGCACTGCACTGGTTCCTGTGGTGTCAATCTCCACCGAGCTTCTCGGCCACAGAGCATGGCATTCACGACATCAAGTATAAAAAAATCAAATCAAAACCGATCAAACAACAACCACAGAAAACGCGCGCTATGTGATTGTGCGCGGTTCAGTTCGAATGTGCGCAAAACAGCTGGTCTACTCTTCTTGTGCCTCCAAGCGCGGGAAAAAAACCCGCAGATTTTGATGTGTCAACATTGCCAGAAACTGCCTGAGCGAGACACCTCCGAAAAAATCAGGTGAAATGTGCCATTGTGTGCCTGAAATTTCTCAACATGACAAATGATGACAAATCATTCGAACACCCCGGTTTTCTGAAGGGACGTCCGTCCTTTCAAGAATGTAAGGTCCAACATGAAGAAAAATCAAAAAATATAAACTATAAGGCAGAAGGCATCTGTCTGTGTTTTACGTGGTGCTTCATATACTTCTGAGTTTGCGCTGCTCTGCACGTGAGCACGTGACCAATACTGAAAAAACGGTGTGCGCGCGCGCTGCAGTCACTTTTTTTCAAGCTTCGCCATCGAAAGTGCAGATGGTCCCCTGCCTGTGCGAAAGAGAGGGCCTGGAGCGGCCAGAGGAATTGGACGATAGAAGTTTAAAGTCAAACTTCCGACAATATAGACAGATGGAAAGGCAGAGGTGGGAAGAGTCAGAGAGGAGAAAAGGTCAGAAGAGAAAGAGTCAGCAGAAAGAAGTTCAAAGCGCGCGAAAAGGTAGCAAGTCGCAAAACACAGTGTTTTTCCAATGCGTTGGGGGTCCGGAAGCTCGAAAAGTAGGCTCGCTAAAGCGGCGGGTGCGGAGCCATCTGGTCAGATGAGAGATGAAAAATTGTTGCACGCCGTTGTGGCGCAAAGAAGCACATTTCGAGGTCAAAATTTGCAAAGCACACCACGTTCCACGTTCGGAGCACTTTGGACGTTGCGATGTTCAAGCGCAAAGCACATTTCCAAGTCAAAATGCGCAAAGTGCATCAAGTCCGGGGCAGTTTTGGAAGCTGAGAAGCCAAGGTTGCCCTCGTTTGCAAAGCCACTGAACTGTTCTCAGGTGAAGCGATTATCTTTACAAGACCTATGCTTTGGGTTCGGGGATCTAGAACATAAAGCATGGGATCAGTGGCGTGCCCATCTTTTGGTCCAAGTTTCGTAGACATGAAAAAGCCCCCAGCAGAAATGCCAATTCTATCCGTCAGTTTGGCATGAGCCTCAGAAACCGCAACCCTCATGCCATCCCCGAATAACAGTCTGCAAGGCAAGCAGAAACAGCACCATTCCTTCAATGACAACAAAAAAACTGAAAGAAATCTTGCAGGTGTGGTGTGTGTGTCGTTTGAACGGGAGCGCTATGTTCTTTTGGAAACGCAGCCTCCTTTCCTTTCACAAAGTGACCATTCATTCAATTTTTTTGCTGCGGCCTAGACCAGGAAGGGGAGATTGCAAGCTGTAAGAAAAACACATAGCAGCGTGCTGAATTGTTTATTCAGTTCAAACTCGATATTGTGCGTTCCCATGAACAAGAGCGAAAATTTTCTAAGGCAGGACGGTGTTCATGTGAAATCTTACGGAATTCTTTCTCAAAAACGCAGCTCTGTACCTGAAGCGTCATTAGCTTAAGAAGGAACAGCCTCTTGGGAAGCAAGTGCAATAGGAAAGGCAGCGCAGCATTGCCCCAAGACATGCCAAGAATTTGCAAATACCCTTTCTACAAGGGAAAAACATGAAACAAAACGGTCTTGCATGATGCCATTGTATTCTGCAACAGCAACAGTTCACCAGCAAGTCTCCAGCCACTTTGAGGTAGTGATGTCACTACCAAGGATGTTTGGCGCTTCTTGGCTCAGAGAAACCCCTTTTGCGTCACTCACATATTCACATAGCTGCGATCTGACCTCCGTGATCGTTGGTGAAAACAAGGCGTATTTGACATTTCTTTCACCTACTTGAACTGGAGATTGTCGGGTGTGAGCCCCACAACGCTGCGCTGGCTGCTACATTGGAAGCAAAGCAGCAAAGCTCCGGGACCTGGCTCTAGTTGCCCGAGCGTCACATCATGGGATGGCAGTGCAAGACTTGGCGATGCTACACATGTGAGGTGTGTTAGTATGCCCGTAGAACCCCAATTCAGTTGAGAAAAGACGATGCCGTGCTTGAAGCTGCTTGGGATACTTCGTGGACCTGCAAGGCTTCTGGCGATGAGCAGGGCTACCATGGAGTTCGACGGCACAAATGGTGGCAAGGAGCGTTCGCAACAGCAAGCCCCACCGGCGCACATGTTGCCACGTGTCACAGCAGTACTTCAACTTCCGGAGGGAACGCAAGGAGCCGATTGGTAGTCGATGAGCAGCTTGTTGGTTTGCCAAGCTCGAAGGCACATTGAATTTGTGGAGGCCCTCCTTTTCTTGTCCGATACCAAGAATGGTCTGAAACAACATGAGAAGTCTTTGACCTGCCTGATGAACGGCTCCCAGCATCGAAGTAGGGACGGAGCTAAGATAATGGCTGGAGATGAGCCGGCTTCACCTCGCTGCTGCTGCGACTGTTGCCACGGCTGGTGATGGCTTTGTCGGACCCCAAGAATGCGCTTGGCGCGAGTTCCCAGCACATTGGCCGCGATGCCATTCATGACCTCTCTGGCAGACAGTTCCGTCCTTGAAGTGGTTCACAACTTCAAGCTTTTGCCATCTGCTGTTTTGCCTGTCTCCGCTGGTGAGAAGCGCGACATCTTGGCCTTGCCAATGGCAGCTTGGAATGTCGACTGATTTCCCAAGCCTTGCAAGTCCTGGAACTTTGTCGCCATGATTATGTGGGGCTTACAACACTCACTATAGCGCGGAGCCCTACAGCCAGTGATCGATGGTATGAGAACTATGGGACAGAATCTGACCAGAGAGGCAGGACTATGAATGGGATCACTGCAGGGGAGTAACTCAACGTCATTGTGCTTCTGCGGCTGACCATCCACAGGTGCTTGGGCCGAAGCACAACGTGCAACTGCGGCACTTCGCCATGACCGTGGTCAGCGAGAAGCGTGATGCAACATTTACGCATCCCCAGCTTCGGGTAGTTTTTATAATGGTGCCAAGGCAAGCGCCGCCCCGGAGGGGGTCATTGCGAAAGACACGTAACCACTCTTTCGTTTTGGGAATGGATGTTGGGGGCAAGCAAATTTTCGGGCTTCAATCAAGTCCAAAGACTCTGGTGTTGAAGGAACCTTTAACATATCATTTATAACATGTACTGCCTCGCGCAAAGCTGATGCTGCACCTCCATCTTGCATGGCGCTGGCTCTATACCAGAGTCGCCTCCGTCCTCACGCCAGCTCGACGAAGCGCATCCTCCAGTGCCAGATGGACTCCTTGCCCTTGGAAGGGGACGCACTGGGGGTGCCTTTGCAGGCGGCCAGCTCTGTACCGACTGCCTGTGCCGAACACTCCTCACTGGACTCCTAGAGTCTCGTCTCCTTGGATAGGAGAGGATCTTGACCCACGACGTCGTCGTCGTCTCAATCTCCTTGACCGGCGCGCAAAGGGCTACGGGAACACCTCCTTGACTTTGATCTCTTTGACGAACTCTGAGAAGCCTTCTGGTCTGCAACCTCTTCACGTAGGTCTTCCAACCTATCATACAACACATGCATCGTCTTCTCCATGTCGGCCAAGTGCCTTGCAGCGAAAGGCTGTCCATCAACGACTGAAACTGCTTCATCGTCTGCGACAATCGGGATCGCTCTTCCAGAGTCGTCCCTCGCAGTGTCATCAGCTCCATCTCGGACATCACGACCAGGGCGCGCGGGCATCGCCTTTGGGAGAGCAGGCGCTAAGATTGGTCCACTGTGCTGTGGAGGAAGGATGGATCCGATTTTTTCCAAGCACTTCTGATTCTGATGATCTCGACACGCTGAGCAAGCTCTGCCACATTTCATGCTAGTGCACCAAGGTGGCAGAATGCCCCCTACGCCGCATCTGATGGTATGAGCAAGAGCTGTTGCACACACTTCGGTGTCTACCTGACCTATAATCCCAGGGACCCACCCCACGCACCGCGGGATCCTGTGCTGGGTCCTGCAAGTGCTCCACATCTATGACAAAGTGCTTGCGGCCCTCAGGGCCTTAGGGTCCAACGAATCTTGTCCAAATCTTTTTCCCCTGGTGACAATGACGATCGAGGCGTCTGAACTGATCGCCCTTGCAAGTTCTTGTTGAACGTCATGTCATCGATGATGGAGGCCAACAATCGTTTGTGCATCGTCCATAGCGGCCATGGCTCTGAGCGCTCGGTGAGCTTTCGGGATGTTCAGTGGGCTCCCCGGCGTGATGGGTATCAACCCATCTGTCAAATTCATCATCAAGAGTCCAGTTTGTGGCATCTGTAAACCTTCAATTGTTCACCGTTGACTGAGATGATACCATTCTTTAGGTCCTTGACTAGGCCTCATTTTGTCTGAGCGTGCAATGACAAAAGAAGTAGGCTATTGCCTGATGTCAGCTGATGTGAATCTAAAACACCATTGACCCTGTCCGTCTTGAGCATCAACGAAAACGGGATCGACCTTATCCCCTCGGTCTTGGTGCTTCCACTGCCCAGACCAGCAAAACTCTTTCCCCCATCATCCTTCAATGGCATGGTGTAACCAAACTGGGCTAGCTTCTTCTCTGCTTCAGCTGCCCATGAGCTGCTATGACAAGTACTGTTACACCCTTCATCCAACAAAGCAAACACATGGGGAGAATTCTCTATGTCGATTGATTCCAAATTCATGTAGACAAGGTCTTGGGGAAAATGACGTTCGCTACCATTAAGCATACCCCAACGTAACCAGTTGCTGATCGAACCTCAGGGTCCAATTGGCCCTCCTCAACAAAAGAGAAGCGGTCCTCATCCAAGATGTCGTTGATCGATCGATGTAGAAGTTCATGAAGCCGTGAGCGTGTGATGGCCTCAGTTTCAGCAGCAGATGAAACAAGTTGTGCAAACTGTGGTAAAATCTTGTCCAATGGATCGGGAGTGAGGATCTGGGAATCCTCATCAACAATGCCAATGCTTTCAACAACAGGCACCTTGTTCACCTGAGCTGTTTCAATCTTCTTGGCTATGGCGGTACGCTCCTTGAACACTTGCATGGGGGCCTCATCAATGTAAGTACAACAGTGTTACCAGTACACACGATGCGTGGTCCTACTGGATCCCCGATAGTCAACATCCTTGTGTGGACATTCGTCAACTGGATATGTGGGCTCTTCCACTCTCTTATCTGTCTCTGCATGCCCGCAATCCAAGCAAGTCATACGAATAGTGTAACCAGTTGGTCCCTGCTTTGTGAAGTCTTTGCAAACTTGACACTTTGTAGGCTTTGGAGGGTTTGGTGGTTTTCTCCTGCCCGAATCCCGGGTCACACGTGAATCTGGGGCATAGTATGAGATTGTTCGCATGAAAATACCAACCTCATTGACATCAAAGTACCTGTCAACCCATTGTATCCATTCCCAGTAGTAAAGACTCTTTGGGCCATTTTTCTTTGCCCATTTATGGAAATTGGTTTGATCATGCAAAGCATCCCAAATTGTCAAGACTTTGAGCTGTCCAACAGGGAAAACATAGTCACCCTTCTCGGGCCCCATTGTACATCGAGGTCCCAAGGCACTGGACGGTGATCTCCACCTGATGAAGTCGAAGCTGATGGTCGAGGCTGAGAACTCTTCGGCTCAGACCGACGCACTGCCATGTGTGCCACATGCTTTCCTGCTGGAGAAGCTTCAAGATGAAGTGCATCATCATCTGAACGGTCGCTCATATCAGCAAGGTTAGCAGTCGGTTTCACCGTACTGCCCTTCTGAGCATCTGGGCCTCTTGATCCAGGAACTTGCACGCTGGATCTCCAGCCCAATGGCCAATTGCACCACAACGCATGCACCTTGACCCCTTCTTCCAGTCAGCCAGCTTTGCATGACGCTGCTCAATTGTAAGATGAGAGCGAACCAACTTGCCGTTGCCAGGCTTGCCCTTCTGGCCAAACTTGCCCTTACCCTTGGCTTTGCCAAAAGCTACATGCCAGTTGCAGTTGAATCGCATCACCGGCTTGTTTCTCACCTGCATCTTCGACATCCAACAAACAGTTCAATGTCATTGCTTCGTACTCATCAACATCATCAAAGTAGTCATAGTCATCCTCACCAGTTGCTTGAGGTTAATCCTCAATCTCACCAAGAAGACCAGTGTAGGATTCAGCCTCATTCCAAGCTTGTTCATCATGCCAGTGCTCATCCCAATGTTGCTCATTAACGTTCACCCCATCGGGGTAGGCGGTGTAAGCTGAACGTGGATACGAACCCTTTCCAGGAGAAGATGTATACTTCCCCTTTTTTCCACTCGACTTTCCAGCCAACGTAGATGTAGGTACAGGTCCTGTCCAGGATCGTGGTCCTTCACGAAGATGTATCTGTCCATACTGTTTGACAAATACCTTGGCGACACCTTTGAAGGCTTTCGAAGTTGCACATGCTCGGACTACCAGTCCTTGTTGTCGCGATCAACCAGACAATTCAATCAGCCATTCCATCCTAAGTGAATCAGACAACTGCATCGAAGGGTCTAGCTCTATCAGAATCTTCCACCATCTCCTGTGCCGCTGTGTGTAGCTCAACATAGGTTCCAATGACTGTCTTGCCAATGGTCCACCAACTCTCTGACCAGCTCGAAACAACTCTTTTGCTTCTTCCTGCGCTCTGGGGAAAACATGAGCCGTGATCTGAGTGATCAAATGCTCCAATCCTCCAGGTGCAGTCAGCTGATCAAATGCTCCAATCCTCCAGGAGCAATTGCAAAAGCATCACCACGTAGTCCTTCAACGATCTTGTTGACAAGAGGTCCACGATCAACAGGCTTTGTCGAAGTCGATCTCGCTCCACCGGCTTTACCGGAGCTCGGGGTCGAGGGAGGTTTCGAGGTGTTCTGTCCTGACAAGTCTGGAAACGTAGGCATGTCCTCAGTCTCCTCATCCTCATCCTCTGCAGCCACTAACTGGGCCCGCAGAAGCTGATTCAAACAAGACTATCCTCAGATGTGTTCTGAATTCCCAATCATGAAAATGTCCAGCGTCTCCATGGTAAATGTAGGATCCTGACTTCGTCTCCAGAGCCATACTGCCCCTGAACGAACTTCAATACGTTCACGGACATGGCAGGTCCGCCCAGCACTGGGTCAGACGATTGCAGAACCTTCCTCAACTGAGGTCGGCCATTTCAAGAATAGCGGGATTCAAATTGTCTTGTCGGAGTTGCACAAAACAGCCCACACTTTTCAGCAGCAGCGGCAGGACTCAAGGGCCCTAAGATCCAAATGGCGACAGCATGTACATGTCAACCTGGCGTTCAAAAGTATGCGATGTGGGGTCGGACTGACAAATGTTTATGGGGAAATTTCTGAGAAAATGACCAAGGTCCCAGACGAACGACACTGCAAAGCCTATCAAACCTTGAAAGGCCCGCAGGAATAGAGCGACGTTAAAATTTCCTTGCGAATCCAAAATTTCCTTGCGGATCCTCCCAGCGCTGTTCGTGAGCTCCGCGATTTTTTGGCACTGGAGTTTGTGAGACTTCCAATCAGATCGTTGGCACTCTTTGGAGCAGTATGCTACAAGCTTGCAATTTCCGCAGGCAGGAAAACTGCCAATGACACCACATCGGTGACACTGTTGAAAGGAGTCCAATATTTTGATGACCGCAGCGGAACTCCCAACATCAATGCTATTGTTCATCAGTTCCTGCAAAGCTTGATGCAAACGCTTCCTCTCGAAGTAGCAAAGAAACGCCGCTGAGTCTGACGTGGGCAGCTTCAACAAGATGGCCTGCAGAAACGGAGCAGCTGCAGCGCAACGGAACAGAAGAAGTCCATACAAATCCTGCAGGGGCGAGCTTTATGGAAAATGATCCGCATGACAAATGATCGCAAAATCATGTCATGCCCCTGGCCAGCATTTTGAACAGAGTGAGAAGACAGCAAAATCTTGGTTGCTTTAATGCATGAACCCACGAATCGCAGGTCCTCTGCCAAATCTTTGCTGAATTCAGGCCAACAATCGTGTTTTGTGCCCAGGTGATGCAAACAGCGGAGGAGATGCTGGACCATCTTACGTTGTTCGCTGAAGCCACCTAGATCATGGTGGCCACGACTGGCAACTCCAAGAACCTCCCAGGCGCAGCAGTCCCATGGACTGCATGGGTCACATTTTCATCTCCAAGCCGGATTTGTCCAAAATCACTTTTCCTGGAAAGGCATATACCAATCACTCGCCAATCGCGTGCCAATCGTAGCGCGAGGCGCGCCAATCGCGGGGTGATCAAGCATTTCCCAACTTGGTGACTTGAACTCAAAAGGAGTTATTTTATTTTTAAAACTAGCTGGCAACTTTCAAATCCATTCTTGGCGTTGGAAGCTAATTCTTGGCGTTGGAAGCCGTGGCTGGCCCCCTCATGTCCAAGTTGAAAGATGTTATAGCTTCTTTGCAGCGTTCAAGTGAAGGGCCCACCCATTGCTCACCCATTGCTCACCAATCGGGAACCAATCCCGTACCAATGATGGATGTGAGGAGAAAGTGCAATCTTGGGAAAATTGAACATGTAATCCAATGTCAAGAACCCATCAGTCCAAAAGACACGGTTAACGAGGCCGTTGACCCATATGTCTAAAGGCATCCAAGGACTCATGTACTGAAGGGATTCGCGCAGTCAGGGTTTCCACTGGTCTTTCACGGTTTTTGACGGCTTCACTATTTTGAACGCAAATCCGCATCTTCGATTTTTCAAGCATGGGATATTTTCGGGGATGGGACCTTGCTCGGCTAGGTCTGAAAAATACGACATCAAAAACATCCCGGCGGACCGGGGACGGTGCTCGTAAAAGCATGTTTTTTTTTAAAAAAAGTATGGCGCCGTAGTGAAACGCGAATTTCTTTCATCAAAAGCATCCAGAAAATGGATTCCAAAATTTGGGCGTTTTCGCGTTTTACCACAGTAACAGCTCATTTTCATCGGAGTTTTTTTTTTTAACCCTGAAAAATAGCACTCTTTCCGTCAGAAGATGCATTTCAAAGCTTCGGTGGTCTTCTTCTGTAATGTGGAATTGAAGTTTATATACCTCCATTGCCAAGACTTCGTGTAGAGCAGTAAATCGCGGCTTTGTGAGGACAAACTGTTGGGAATGTACTTTTTAATGCAGACGTGCAGCATCAATTGTTCCAGTATGACAAAGCAATTCTGACAAGAAGATAACAACGCAGTTAGACGACGTAGTTGCAAGTTGTGTTAGAAATGTCGCGTACTTGCAATTTCAAAAAGAAGATAACAACGCAGTTGCAATTTGAAAAAGATAACAACGTAGTTGCAAGTTGCGTTACAAAAACCAACAGCGTAGTTGCAAATTGAAAAAGAAGATGACACCGCACTGGCAATTTGAAAAGGAAGATAACAAGGTAGTTACAATTTAACAGCCCACCCCACCCCATGCAAGTGGTTAGAGAAGTTAATAACGTAGTTGAAAATGGTTCATACCAAACAATTTAACTAGCACGTTCTCAAAAACATTAGTTTTCCGAGCACAGTTTTCGGTCCGCTGGCAAAAAAAACCTCACACAAAGAAAAACCTTAGTCCTAAAGACATCAGTATTTGCAGACCTTTGGCAAAGGCCTAGTTTAGCGAGGAAATTGCAGACTGCACACTCACGTCAGCCCAGTGACTCAGCGCAATGCGCAGAAATCCAAAGCAGGACTCAAATATCATGATAATCGCTGAATGATGTTAAAATCTCTCAATGTCAATCGCGCAGCCGTCGCTTGCCAATCCCCACAGAGTCACCAAGTATGTGTGTGGTGTGTGGTGTGTGGTGGGGGGTTGTGGATATTGCATTGGTTCCCAGGGATGTAAAAGAAAACTAACTAAGAAAAACAATGACAATAAACACAGTTTCCCGAATGCGTAGCAAGGGTTCCCGTTTCACTCTGGGGGTCTGGGGGCTGAGGGTGTGTTCGCTCGACGTTGCGTTTACGTTCAACCATCCGCAACCGTTCGTCCTTATGGCCGTGCCTATGGTAAGTTCTGCAGAAGGGGTCACTTTTGGAGGTTTCAAACGTCTCGCTTCTTCGTTTCGCATGGCAGGCGTGGCACTTCGTGACGTTCAGATGTGTCTTGTAAAAGGTCGAAAATCGTTTTGTGTGGCAGGCGCGATACTTTTGCGACGTTTCCAAAAGATTCGTTACAGTTTTCGTGGCAGGCGCAGCACTTTGGACGTGTCCATCGTCATTTTTCGTGGCAGGCGCAGCGCTTTAGACGTGTCGTGTGGCGTGTTTTTCCCCACATCTTTGTGTGGGGTTCTTGTTTTTGGTTGTGCACTTCCGCCCCGCCTCCCACCCCGTCCGTCCCGTCCGTCCCGTCCGTCCCGCCCGCCCCGCCCGCCCCACACACGATCACACACACACTTTGTCCACACTTTGCATGGCAGGCGTGGCAGTTGTGGCACTGGACTGGCTCTGGTGGCGTGCTTGGGTCCCAGTGGACGTCGCAGTCGCCGCGGCTGTTGGCGTGGCAGGCGTGGCGCTTGGTGACACCGAGCTTCACTTTGCGTGGCAGGCGTGACACTTATGGCGCTGGATTGGCTCTGGTGGCGCGCTTGGGTCCCAGTGGGCGTCGTGGTCGCCGCGGCTGTTGGCGTGGCAGGCGTGGGACTTGGTGACATCGAGCTTCACTTTGCAGGCGTGACACTTGGCGACATCGCCCTCCACCTTGCGTGGCAGCGCAGCTCTTATGGCACTGGATTGGCTCTGGCGCTGTTGGTGTGGCAGGCATGGCACTTGGTGACATCGAGCTTCACTTTGCGTGGCAGGCGTGGCACTTATGGCACTGGACCAGCTCTGGTGGCACACAAAACTCTTCCACACAACTTTGTCACAGATGCCTTTCACACACAACTCTTTCACACACAACTTTGTCACATACATCTCTTTCACACACAATCTTTCACGCACAACTTTGTCACACACACACATCTCTTTCACACACAACTCTTTCACACACAGCTTTGTCACATACATCTCTTTAACACACAATCTTTTACGCACAACTTTGTCACATACAACTCTTTCACACACAACACTTTTACGCACACAAACTTACACACACACACAAAACACTGTCACACACAGCTCTTTCACCCCACCTGTCTTGCACCATCTCCTTTCCTTCCTGCCTTTCCCATCTCATTTTCACATCTGTTTGTGATCATTGGAAGAAGTTGATTTGTGGGGTTATGCGGTCCTTTAATTTACAAATAGCATTGGCAGGGCGACAAGGTGCGAATTCCGTGGCAGGCGTGGCATTTTGTGAGATGTGATGAAAATTGACGGAAGCCTCGCACGAAACATCGATTTTGAGGTAGCAAATTTAGAGGTTCCTAAGAAAACTCCTAGGAAAACGTCGATTTTCAGGCTACAAAGCGTCAAAATTGGAGGAAGTCTCGCACGAAATGCTCGTTTTGCTGCTCCCACGTGTCTCGTCTCGAGTCTCTGGTTTTCCTGTGGCGTCGCCGTGTCTATGGGGGAAGCTGTAAAACCTCTCCTTTTCGAAGGTTTCCAAGCAGGTTGTCATGTCGTTTTGCGTGGCAGGCGTGGCACTTTGTGACATTCCAACCTGTTGTATACAGTGTCGAAAGTTTTTTTGTGTGGCTGGCGCAACAATGCACTCCACACTTTACACTCTACACTTTACACTCCACACCCTACACTCCACACTCTACTTTCCACACTCCACCGCACGCTACACTTTACACACTCCACGCTCCTCACTCCACACTTTACACTCCACACTCTACACTTTCCACTCCACACTCCACACTCTACACTTTACACTCCACACTCCAGAATCCACAATTTACACTTTAGACTCCTCACTCTACACTCGACACTTTACACTCCACACTTTGCACTTTACACTCCTCACTTCACACTCCACACTCTACACTTTACACTCCACACTTTACACCCCACACTCCACCACACTCTACACTGCACACACTTTACACACTTTACACGCTTTACACGCTTTACACACTCCACACTCCTCACTCCACACTTTACACTCCACACTCCTCACTTTACACTCCACACTCCTCACTCCACACTTTCCACTCCGCTCTCCACACTTTACACTCCACACTCCACGCTTTACACTCCACACTTTACACTCCACACTTTACACACTCCACACTCCTCACTCCACACTCTACACTTTGCACTCCACACTGCAGACTGGTAACAGGGGAAATATGTACAAGACTGTTCAATTAAACTATTGCAGAAAAGTGTTCTGTGGGACTGCATATCCATGTGTTTCGACATCTGTGCCATTAACATACGTGTGAGCATTCGGGTTCGTGGGCTGCATCTTGTTTCCTGATCATTTCTCACCATTTGTGCTCTTGTTGGTTCTTTCTTTTTGTTTCTGGCTCATTTGTCTGCTCTTTTCTGCTCTTTGTTGCTCTTTGTTACTCTTTTTTGCTCTTTTTGGTTAATTTTTCTGTCTTTTTGGTTCATATTTCTGTTCTTTTTCCCTCTTCCGGGCTCATTCTTGCCTTTAAATATCTTTTTCTTGCTCATTTTTGCTCTTTCTGGATTCTTTTTTGTTTGTTTTTTATTTGCCTTTGTGTTTGCTCAATTTTGCATATTTGTGCTCATTTCTGCTCTTGTTTGCTCAATTTGGCTCTTTGTAGCTCG